GATAAAACTATTTACATTCGGCAATCATGAATACAAATTTCAGATAACGGTTGACTAGGTAACAATGTGTAATTAGACTAAAGGTTCATTTTGCGCCGGAGTTGTCCTTTAACATCTCATTATAATGACTTAACATCTCATAATAATGAGAAACTTTCTCGTAATAATGACTTAACATCTCGCACTTCTGCGCATGCGCAGAGCAGCGGAGCAGAAGGGAGTGGCACGCTAGCGACATCCGCTGGTCAAAGCCGTGTAAATGCATCACAGAAACGCATCACACAAACATGGCACGCTCTGCTAAACAGTTGTTTTCATTAAAGTCAGTGTGGTCTACGGAGTGCAATCTGTTAAATAACATAAATAAATGAAAATTGTCCATGCACGAAAAAGTGAAAGTGGAATGCAGAAGCAGGACGGTAACCATGGTAAAGAAGGACGCCTGCTTGAGCACACCAATGGAAATTGTGTTACAAAACTATCTGATTAAAGTCAGAATATTACATTTATTCATTAATTTTAAGTGTAACATCTGCATAAAATATATGGATATATGTGTTAATATAATACATATTTTTTTTAGCGTCTTGGATATTTGATATGCAGGTGGAATATTTCAATGAAATCACCTTTAAGATGTTTATGTCTTGAGACATTTGCGCATAAGTGGGCAGTGAAATGGGGGGAAACGCAAGGTCTTGAGACGTGTTTCTAAATGCTGAACTCCTTTTAATACCCGTTTGGAAAGGTGTGCTGTCTTATCATTCCTCCATATTTGAAATCCATTGATCACCCTTATGTGTTGCTGCTTACTCACAAATTACGAATAAATATTACAAATAAATTAAAGACTATCTAGTATAAAAGCCATCTCATATACTGATAATTTATTAATGTAATTCACTGCGGAATGTGTCATGTTTAATATGATGCATTTACATGGCTTTGACGGATGTCCCTAGCGTGCCACTCCCTTCTGCTCAGCGCATGCGTAGAAGTGCGAGATGTTAAGTCATTATTACGAGAAAGTTTCTCATTATTACGAGAAAGTTTCTCATTATTATGAGACATTAAGTCATTATTACGAGAAAGTTTCCCATTATTATGAGATGTTAAGTCATTATTATGAGATGTTAAGTCATTTTTACGACAAAGTTTCTCATTATTATGAGATGTTAAGTCATTATTACGAGAAGGTTTCTCATTACTATGAGAAACTTTCTCAATATAATGAGAAACTAAGTCATAATTATGAGAAAGTTTCTCATTATTATGACTTACAGAATTATATTTTTTACTCAACTGTGGCAGAAACGGGCTTCCATAGAACCCAAAGTCTTTAGATGTGAGCTGATAATCTTATAAAGTCTTTTCTAAATCTTTTCAAAGTCTTTTGGTGTACGCCCGGCATAAGATTTGAGGGAAGAAAATACGCACACTACAAGATTTGAAAATCGCGGCGCATCACACACTGCACAATGTTTATAAGATTATTGTGCCAGAGGAACCACCTCACGCAGCAGATCGGAAGCAGAAAAGTCACATTTGAAAGAGATTTTTTTTTTTTAAATCATCCTTTTAACATTTAAGTTTAGGCTATTTCTAATGAAATTAGAAAATATAGAGCTGAGAAAATACAGAGCTGAAAATAGCGTCAGCTTTGGTCAATACAATGAAAAAATTGATCCCTATGAAGTGAAGCATCAGCTCAGCTGCTCAGCTGCTCAGTTGAGCCTTGTAAAGTGGAGCTCAAAGTTAAAATATTAAAATAATTAACAGTTTGTTTCATTACATCTATATTTGAATGAATCCAAATTTTTTTACATTTCCATTGAATGAACATTTAATGACTCACTATTGAGAGTGAGGAGTCACGTGCCGATTTGGGTGGGGTCTTAGCCGGATGGTAGGAGATGCAACGCCTTCAGTATTTCACAGAGGCGCAACTTATTTTTTTTCCAGTCTATGGGCACAACTAAACATTCCGGAAATTGCGAAAGAGAGATAGTGCAGCTAGTGTTTGTTTACATTTTAGCTATACACCACAGTTTCTTTGGAAAATATGGAGAAGGAAGAGAAATGAAAGTTGTTCTATCGGGAGAGACTAAAAATAAGAGACTAGCCAGCTTTATTTAGAGAAACTGCTTGTCAATAAACTGACGACAGCAACTGTACGCTAAGCATGATTTTAAAAGCAACACATTTTAGCACAGTTCGCCTTTTATTTAACACAAACGAACAAAATTAATAATATGTTATTCAACTAGAGTTGTTTAATTTGTTATAGATATATCTGTACTACAAAACGTTTTAAAAAGACACTTTTTTTAATGTCGTACAACGACTCATTGACAGGGGAATGTCCAATCTGTCCGACCTGCACAGCAGGTGCAAATGCACGTATCTAATTCATATAAGATTTATTTCCACGTTTGAATGAGGTCTGAAACCTCAAGTATGACTGAACTCTCCCAGTTTAACGTTACAGGTTTGGGGGTTTTTAAGTCTTGCACCCAGCCAAAGCAGAATTGTTCATAAGCCTCTAATGACTTCCCAGACAGCAAACTGACATTGAATCAACGTGGAAACGACGTCTCTCATGACATTGAAACAACGTTGATTTTGCTCATAGAATTAACGTTGAACCAACGTCAGACGCGGCATTCTTCAAAGCTAAATGAAAATCGAAAATTGGTTTGCTTTCATAACGTTGAAACAACGCGTTGATTTCAAGTTGATTTTCCGTTAGTTTTGAAACAATGACGCGTCTGACGTTGGTTCAACGTTAATTCGATGAGCAAAACAATGTCAGATCAACGTTGTTTCGATGTCATATTTCCACGTTGATTCAATGTCAGTTTGCTATCTGGGTTAAAGCTTCTTAACTTTTGCATTATGTTGGCAGTAACGTTAGGCACTGATACCATAAACCAGGTAATTAACTATGTCAGAGTGTATGAAAGGTGGTAGTGCTTTGGGTCTTTCGCACATTCTGTAACAGGTCATGTTGTTGATGTCAAGTAGTGTCTCTAAATAACTCTGCTTGGTGGTGTTATTTAGTCTCTCCCGATAGAGCCCCTTTCCTTTTGCTTCCCCCTTCATTTATTTCCAAGAAACTGTGCCTTTTCGCAAAAATGCTAACAAATATCAAGCTGCTCTCTTTCTGTGTTGCTATTTCTCTCGACCTCACGGTCGAGGTAACCATGAAAACGGATAGCGTATCCTTCCAAGATGGCGACGCATTCCCATAATGCAAATGCGTGACGTCACATTCTCATTTTCAATAACACGCAGAGACGAGCAATGCCGAGTGGTAAAATATCAGCAGAAAGCCTTTAGTAAAGTGAGATTCGAAACTAACTGTTATATGTGAGGCTTGTGTTCTGTTATTATATTATGTGGACCCTTATTTTGATATTGTATCTTCTATTCACTCCACTTCGTTTCAATACGCTTTTTAATTTCGGTTTAATTACTGAACATGTACTCGTCTTCGTGCCTGCTGACCAAAGCATAACACTAATTTATTTAGCAATAAATAAATAAAGATAATACAGCATTTTGTGCTGTTGAGTCACTCAAAATTACAACAATGCAAAAATTCCTTCACCAACACAGCCCTACTGTTGGAAGAAATTACAATGTTTGGGTTTGGAATGATCTTCATAGAAAATTCACGAAAAAAAAAAAAAAAGACAAGGTGTAGGGTTTCTCTGCTGTCCACATCAACTTCAGTCTGTGCTGTACCATGACTGCATTTTTTTATGCTTTCGTATTTCAACATCTCGCTTTCTGATATTGTTATCGGATATTGTTTTGTTTCACGTGATAATTTCCAGAGCGTGCACGTTTGTCCTCAGGGTTCCCCCCACACATCAGGATTTCTGATCGTAAATATTCAACATGTTGAATGTTTACTATTTGCGATCGAGGCGGCTCCGATGTTCTTCCGAGCAGGGAGGTGCCATCCAAGATGTAGATGTCTTTGTTTCCACAGTATTTTTAATTTTGACATTTTTCGGTCAAACCGTTGTTGTCTGTCCGTCATATAATGGAGTTTTAGGGGGTCCACCTCAAAGAGCATGCACAGGGAAGTCAAAATTAAACATGATTTAATGACTCATGAATGTAAGTACACACTGATGGCCTAAGACATGAAACGAGCGGTTTGTGTGAGAAAACGAACAGTATTTATATAGTTTTTATCTCTTGTTAACAGCTACGTGCACTGATCTGAATCAGATGTCCAAATGAACCAGACGTTACGTCTCTAGACGTTACACCGGAAGTGATCTCTATGTCACGCTTTGTTTACACAGAGATTTCGGAATTTTTACCTTTCACTAAACATATTTTGTGAAATGCTCTTTGAGGTGGACCCCTAAAACTCCAGTATATGACTGACAGACAACAATGGTGTGACCGAAAAATGTCAAAATTGAAAATACTGTGGAAACAAAGACACCTACATCTTGGATGCCCTTGAGGTAAGCTAAAACATATCAAAAATTAATTTCAAAGTGAACTATCCCTTTAACACACCTCACACCAAGGGAGAATCTGATAAGATAATCTGAAAAAACATCAAGATAATCGGGACATAGCTAGGATTGTCGGAGGGGGGAAATTAGCCCAAAAATCAGCCCAATTATCTAATTAGCCAGAATGATAATTTTTGGTCCCAAATTTGTATAAATTTGAATGGTAGTCCATTGTATTATGAAAAGTTTTTGAGTATAATATGTCACAGTTGACTTTATTTTGCTATCATCACATATATTAACTATAGTGTCCTGCACCTACTAGTAAAAAAAATTCTAAAACATTATATCTGGTGTCTGAATATTTTTTTTGGTTTGACTGTATACAGTGTGTGTATGTGTGTGTGTATATATATATATATATATATATATATATATATATATATATACACACCCACACATTACTGATTAAAAGTCTGAATATCATCTGAACAACTCTTTCTCTGTTTTTGTAATCAGGCTAAAATCTATTTCTCCTTTCCTGGTGAGCTGCTCATGCGGATACTTAAAATGTTGATTCTCCCGCTAATCACCTCCAGGTGGAGTTGGATTTATTCACATCTGCATATTACATTTTAAAACTATTAGACAAAATTCTTAATGTCACACATTAAGAATGTGTGAACATCTCCTCATATCAGCTCTTACTCTCTGTAGTTTAATGTCTGGACTGTCATCAATGGAGTCAAAGGCCTGCTGCAGGATGGGGGTGCTAACGGTCACCTACTACCTTTGGACCACATTCATTGCTGTAGTGGTTGGCATTGTACTTGTTCTAATTATCAAACCTGGCTATGGGACAGATGTGGAGAGCAACAGACTGGGAGGTGGACAGGTCATAACATCTGCAGATGCCCTGCTGGATCTGGTCAGGTACAGTCAGAATGGACTTTGACACATTTTGTCAGGTACAAACAACAACTTTGTTGGTCTTGGACCAACTTTCCTTTCAGCCAAGCAGATTTTAGGAATAGGCTTAGATTTTGAGCAAAGCGTCAGCTCTGGTAGGTCACGTTAGACAAGCTCGCATCAGCTGACTCTCAGCAGATCCGTGTCTACTTATAGGAATACGATGTCTATCAATGTAGACATACTGTAAGCCCTCCTTTCACTATTAACAGCAACTATCACGTTTCTCAGGAGCTTATTACCCTCCTCCATCCCCAGCTCCTCCTCTCATCAGTCAGGATTCGGCATTCTGATTACCCCTGAATCAGACTCAAATTCTCAAATTATCTTGTACAATAAAATTAATTAATTTAATGATATCTGCAATACATTCATTTTGGTTCTGTTTACCCTAAGGGCAATAGGGCCTTCTCCATGCTAGGCGGCATGCCCAGAACAGAACCATACCGCCAATCCTAACTGTATGCTATTTGCCAATCGTATTTGACTTTAGTGGTCCTAATAGAAATGGGGTTAGAGGCTTGGATGAACTTTTCAATCGATTTCCATCTGATTTTAGGGGTAATTAATGGTTAATGTTTGGACTTCTTGGTGGGTTCGAATGTGTTCTGTGTGGAAAATACCTTAAAGGGATATCACCCAAAAATATTGTTTCAAACTTGTGTTGGTTATTTTTTTCTCCTATGTGACACAGAAAGAGAAAGTTTTTCCATGCAATTACAAACAATGGAAATCGGAACACCCAGACTTAAAAAATTACACAAAGGCACCATAAAAGGATTTCATATGAATTGTGTGTTGTGTCTAAATGTTTGGTTGTGTTGAAATTCAACTATGACAGTATTTTCTTCACAAAGTCTATTGTATGGCTTCAGAAGAATATATTATAATATACATATAAAATCACTGTGCTATTTATATAACACAAAAATCACACATACCACTGTTATGGTGTTTTTATACAGAAGGAAATAGTCACACAGGTTTGGAATAGCATGAGATGGAATGATGACAGTATTTTAATTCTGGGGTGAACTATCCCTTTAATATTAGCTTTTTAACTGAAAAAATGATAAACGTTGGGGGTAAATTGCTCCCTTATTTTGATGCGTCACTGTTATTTTGATTCATTGGAAAGAATGTCCATGGGGAGTCTAAGCCATCCATACAGTGCAATCCTATTAAAGCAGTGGGGTGATTAGGATATTTTTAGTAAATCTGTACAAAGTAAGAGGAGGAGGACCCTCCCATCCCCCACTCCCTTCTGCCCATGGACAAAGCTGCTGTTAGTTTTGGCTGCCACACTAGCTGGTGCTTAAATCTGCA